TATATATATATATATATGTGTGTCTAGATATACGCACATACACACACACACATATAGATGCAGACTCATGGACAAAGTTAAGAGGTGTATGGTTTTATTCCTTCTTTCTGATTGCACTTTGTTGTTGATGCGCGTGTCTGTTTGGGCTTACTTGTAGCCGAAAGCCGGGCATATGAACCTGCAAATACACAGCCGTGCATGCATGCTGACTTGAAGCCATTGAGTCGTTTGAACCTGAATATGTGCAGAGCTCGTGTTGTGAGGACTTTTTGGCAGGCCTCTATGTCGACAGTTAGATGGATAGACATGCACCGCCCCTGCTCCCACCCACCGGCCTCTCCGAACTCCGAACTCCCAAGCTAGATACCAGGATGCCAGTGCCGCGAAGGTGGCAAACGGCTCCCAGGTGCGGAGATGGAATTCTGTGGTTGAAAGAAGAACTGGGTTCTTCTTAAGGAACCTGATTTTTGTTGGGGCTTGGAAGAGTTTTCTCAAGGGTTGAAATATGAGCTGTCCTGGGGGTTGTAAGAAGCTTTATGTTCGAAGGCAGCGACTTGAGCAAGGGGAATGGGGTGCAAGTAGAGCCTGAACAAAACCCAAAATTAAACTCTGAGGGTCTTGCCCTTTGTTTCTCTTCATTGCGGCTCGCTCAAGGCTTCAAGAATCGCGAAGGATGTAAAATCATTGAGCATAACCAGGCTGCTTCAAGATCGAGCACTCTCCCCGGAAAGAGAGAGAGAGAGAGAAAGAATCAAGCAACATATTTTAGGTTTTCGGTATGTTAGCACTGAATCACCGCCCATACATTGAGGTAGCAGACATTGCCTGCGCTTCACCTGCCATGAAGTTTACCCTACCCTAAGAACCCCAAACCTACTTTTTTTGTAGGGTCCCCATAAATCCCATATTAGGGTTTATAATAAGAACCTACAAAAAAGGTAGGTTTTGGGTTCTTAAGGTAGAGCCTAGAGCCCCTGACCTTGTACCCCCAAGGCTGACCTGAAAACCGTAGGCATAGAACTAAGATAACTACGGTAAAACGTGGAATGGAGATGGTCGCGGTCCAAACTTTCAAGCGGAGAGGGGGGGGGGGTCGATAATGTTATGTTTAAAAAGTTCAAGCTTCTCATGAGAGCCTTATGATATACTGCCCTTGAGTTTAACCCGAACAGGAACCCCCGAACCTGCAGGCAGGCCAAGGCAACCCTCCCTAAGCCGCGACACTGAGAAACTGAACTGCGCTGCACTTCCACAAGTCTAGTTCCAACCCAAGCTGCGCGACTTGCGGTGAGGCTCCGGAGGCTGAGAAGGCGCAGCTTCTTTAGGGTCTTAGGGCCTTTGGGTTTAGGGTTTAGGGTTTAGTGGGTTTGGGGGGTTTTGAGTTTCGGGGTTTGGGGCTCAGGGTTGAGGGTTCCGAGGTTTCAGAGTCTCCGGGGTATGCATCAAGACGAGCCGACACCCTAAACATGCACCACACCTCTACATACCCAAGCGCGCCAGGGACCGAGAGTTCATTAAGCATGCTTACAAGCTCCAGACCATGTCCTGTCTCTGAGGCATCGTGTAGTGCTGACCCCATGGAACCTGCACGGGAGGTGTTGGATAGCTGAACAGGAACCAAAGCCGCACATTCTAACCTTAAGGCACCTTGCATGTAGCACCCGGACCTTGCACTTAACAAGTCTAGTTGTGTGCATGTGGCTCGTGGAATCCCCTTGTTCTTGTTTGCACTGACTAGTGAGCTGTGCTAGGAGTTTTGTACAAGGTTTTCGGAGTTTCACGGTTTTTGGTATGATGCCTTCCAATCGAGCTGCCTCTTCTTTGGCACACACGCTGGAGCTGTGTTGATTATGTGTGCCTTGGGCCGGGGAGACTCTGCAAAAGGAGTGACAGCGAGGGAGCTGGATTAAATAGCACGAATGAGCCCGCAAACCACATCAGCAGACCGTGGACCAGACCGCCAACCAGCCTGTGGCTTCGGTGCCAGTAGTTTTTTGTTGCCCCGATACTGTTACCGGAAGGCTCAAGCCCACGACTGGAGACCCTGCGCCCCACCAAAACCCTGAACCTAAAAGACCTGAAGACCTGATATAGGGGCGCAAAGAATTACGTACCACTACTATTTCGGGGGTTCCTTATCATAATTATTGTATATAATTTACCCCGAAACCCTGTTCTAATTATTAAGGCCCCTATATTAGCAGATGCTGAAGACCCTCTTCCATGCCTGCAGGCGACTGGAAATCCCTTCGCCCGTCCCCCTCCCAAGGCCGAGAACAGAGGAAGGGAGGTGTTTTGGGCGTCGGCTTTTCTCTGCTTTTGTATTTTGCAGCCACAGGAAGTAGCAATGTTGTTCTGTTTAAGTGCTTCCTAGAAATCAGTATGATGTCGTAGGCCTGCACAAAGCTATATGATGTCGTAGGCCCGGCCAAACCTATTGAGTTTCATTATGCCCGTGTACTTAATGTGCTTTCAAGCCTTTCTTGCTTTGATTCCTTGAGGGTGTTCTGGGCCTTGGCCATTGCGATTCCTTGTGCAGGGAGAAGGATGATGACACTTGTCGGGAAAGTACCCACCTTTGGAGTGAGCATGTCTGTGAAAACCAAACTAACTGCGAATGTCCAATGCCATACGTAAAGATGTGCTTGACCTCTTTGCCTGGCAGGTGACAGGTTCATTCTTCCTAGCATGAGCCAGAGCCCTTCGGTGAGGCCTCCAATCGCCCGCCGCAGCAGCCGATCACCGCAAGCGCTAACCCGACCTCCGACTGCACTGGCTGTCGTGGGAGCTTCCCCAAAGGGTCCAAGTACTAGTATAGTATATACTTTTGGGGCCCAAATACCTACTAAGTACCTATTATAATGGTACTTGGACCCTTTGGGTTCCAGTCGCTGTGACAGCGGGTACTGACTGCCTGGTAGGCACTGAGTCCGTAGGAGTTAGCGGTGCAGGCTCCAGGCCTTGTGCCGGGACAGTATGAAGTAACACCAAGAAGAACTCTTGCCTCGCGTCTGCAACGTACAAATTCGACTCCGGTCGAACTGGATACTTAAGATCGAACTACCACCACCCGAAGAGCCCTCCACACTCGGCCTCCGAGCCTCAAGCTTTTCGGAATTTAAAGACCGGGCCCGTTAGCGCCGCGGAGAAGAACTTGCACCCCCCAAGACTCAAAATTCCTGAGGTGACTCCTACATCCCAGCTAGACCTGCAAGCGCTAGACGCTTCGTCCATGTGACTTTGGCTGCGACTTGCCTCTCAGGTTCGGGCGCCCCCAGCCCAAAGCTATCCAGGCTCGGGTGTGGCGTTGGCTTCCGTTTCTGGATGCTGGCAATGATTTGAAGGAACATGGTGGCTGTGATGGTATTTGCGACTGATGATGGTGATCATTACGACGATGACGCGCCCATGATGGTGATGACTATGAGTGTGTCTTCACCTGGCCTGTAGTGCGAACTTTCGACCAAAAGCAAGTGTCCGCATCGCTTCTTAGGGTTTTCGCAGCAGTTGGGATCTCGGCACGCGTGTCCCTAGCGGACACTGTGCAGGCTTAGAGAACCCGAATGGTGGAGGATTTGCAGTCAGGAGGTTGCGCAGATATTTTGGAACGCATGACGGTAGGGCTATGGAGCTGTGTGGCTGTGAGGACCGGGATCCGATGTGTGGTGCGCGATGCTTTAGAGGGTCTGCCGGTTAACGTTTTACAATCCCTGCGGCTCTGGCCGGAGATCTCTAGCAAAGGGGGTGGAAGACATGAAGACGATGCTTTCTCAGCACCTAAGCCGCAAGTCCCGGCAGCCTTTTGCGACCAAAGCTCTTGCAAGGCCTGAACTCCTTCAGATACCCTTGCCGTTATCATGTCATGGGCAGGCATTTGATCAGTAGATGCACAGGCATCACAGGCACAAGCCCGTGCCCCAATACTTGAAGCCAGGGACCAAACCCTGAACGATTGAGCCTGAGAAGTAAAACGCCTCTGAACCCCAAAAGGCCGAATCGCAAATATATGCGTGGCAGGCCTCGAGCAACCCGTTTGGTGGCAAACCACAGCCAAAGGAGCGTGTCGGCCTAGGGACAGGGTCTCTTGTCTGGTTTGGGCGTGGAGCTAGCTGGAGTGGCTTAGGTGCTTAGGAGGAGGCTTGGGCTAGCGGCGGGTCCAGGCTTTTTTGGCTACTTACAGTACAAAAGGCTCGCTTAGGGTAAGGGCTCTTGATTCTTGTTGGGGCTTCGAGATCTGGGCACGCAACTGCGAGGGCACCGCGGGTGGGATTCAGGCTTGGGGGCTGAGACTCAGGCTTGGTTTTTTTGGGAACTGTTCATGCAGCATAGGAACGAACTAGTTGTACCGACGTCGGTGAGGTTTTAGGTTCAGGGTTTGCACTCAGGACAAACGTCGCTACAGCTTCACAGAACGATTGTCCCTTATCATGGTTCATGGCGTGAATCTCCCGACCCCAGCCTCAGAGCAATCTCAAGGACTTTGTCGGAAATTGCAGTTATTTGCTTTAACCTGCCAGAATCTTGTTTGTCGTAGCGTCCCCCAAGAACATTGATGCTTGTCTGTAAAACTCAGGCTCCGGGTCCTGTGATTAGGGATACTATTACGGTTTAGGGTTTGGGGTTTAGCGTCGTCAAGGGGGCCATCAATTGCTGACGCTTCCACACCACAGAGAGAGGCATTCCACGGCAGGCTTCTAAGCTCTAGAAAGCCGCAGCAGGAGAGATTCAGCAATCCTAAGCTCTCAACCCCATCAAGCCCAGATCTCTCAGCCCCAGGAGCCCGAATGTTATGGCGCTGTACAACTGCCCTCAACCCCAAAGGCCCCTTTTCCATGCGGAATTCGCAAGAGAAGTATCCCTGGGAGGAGATCGTGGCAGCCAAGGGACCCTTTGGAATCAAATGATTGCCGACCACAGTGCCACCATGGATCGAAATGACCCAGCAAAACTGCACGCGTTCGGGTTCGGGCTTTAGGGATCTGCTGGTCTGGTGGGGTCGCTTGCACGCAGTTTTGGGGTTCTTGTGAGGACATTCGTACAGGGCCCTTCGATCCGGGTGGTGATAAAGCTTACAAGGCTTACATAGGCTCTCATTCAGATTCCTTCAGTGTTTCTTAGGCCTCAGGTCGGGAATCGACGCAGAGGGGTTTTGGGGTGCAACCTGCTGCAAAATCTTGACCACGGAAGTCGACGCACGAGTGTGTAGAAAGAACCTACAAATTCATCCCTCAAGGGTTTTGGAAGGCGCTTGATGACATCTCCATTGCTAGAAGCACACAGTCTCCACAGCTTGCAGAATCTGCAAGTCGGCTGACCCACAGCCAACTGAAGGGTCTGGGCATCCATGCCAACACGCAAATCCGTAACTGGAAAGCAGACATCTAACCCTAACACCCCAGGTACCTACTATATAGGGTACTAGAGCCCCTAGGGCCATATATGGTTATATAGTAGGTACCTGGAGGGTTAGGGTAAAACAACCTCTGGCAACTCTTGAAGCTGAATCGCATCTCGCAGTCTGATGCCGAGCAGCACCATGCTCAGCCTGATTGCGCCCATCACCGCCTACAGCCACACAGAAATGCATGTGCGCAGGCAATGAGTCATGCATGTGGAAGTATAGAGGTGCATAGGCAGTGATCGTGCATGTTAACTTGTGTATCTTCCTTGAGGATTTTTGTGAACAGCACACCCACACCCACTTAAACGAACAACCATGGCTACTCACGAGCATACTCGTAGAGGCTCCTGTGTGTGTACAACCGCAGGTGTACATGCACGCATGCGCCTAATGCAGTCATGCGCGTGCGTCAGGGGCTTGACTGCAATGTCAGTGCAATGGCGAATCATGTACAGCAAATTTGATGAGCCAAGTGCAATGCATCGTAATCGATAAGCTGCGCGAGTGGAGACTGCCAAGTGAGGCATGCATGCATGCGTGCGTGTGTTTGTGTGTGTGCGCGCATGTATGTGAAAATTTGTGTGTGTGTATATATCTATATATATATATATATATATATATGTGTGTGTGTGTGTGTGTTTGTGTGTGTCTGTGTATATATTCATACTACAGTATAGAGATGCAGAGATAGACGTACTGCAACGTGTGATACTTGTGTTCTCAGCCGTTCCTGTGGGTACTTGGGACGTGGCTCGAAGCTTCCACCTGGGCCGCTGTCCACGGGAAGCCGGTGCGGGCGGAGGGCTGCAGGACACCGGCGCTTTTGGGGTTTGGGGCGTTGAGATTCAAGGTGTGAGTCTCCGATTTAGGGTCAGAAGGTTGCTTTCTTCTTGTTCTTGGAGGTAGGGAGGGATCCTAAGGGTTGGTTCGAAACATCCGAACGTCTGAGCCACGACAATCATGTAGCGATTTCCCGTCTTTGGTCCGGCTGTTTACCTGATGCGAGGTGTTGTAGAGCAGCCTATAACTTGCAGTTGTTGTGGACCTGGGTTTAGGATTTCGGCATTCGCTTCGGGGTTCAACTTTTTCGACTGATTTCAGGCTGTTGGATTTAGAGCTTTGGGTGGCTGCCGTCGCCAGGAGCCAGCTGGGAACGATGGGGCCGCGGACTTGGCAGAGAGCTCCAGAGCAATGGGTGAACGTGATACGGCTGATGGACAAAATCCTGCATGACCCAAATATAGTATAGTACCATAAATCCCATAGTTTAGGTATATAAGGTCATGCAGGATTTTGTCCATCAACAGTAGGCTTCGTCTTTGAGTTTTGGGTCTGACAGGATGTCAGGTCCTGAATCCGATCAATGGTCGTTGAAGCCAAGACTCTGAAGATTCACTCCAATGTAGGGGCCTTAATCATTTGAATAGGGCTTGGGTGTATATGATCTATAACTATAATAAGGAGGAGCCCCCAAAACCCTGTTCTAACTACTAAGGCCCCTACATTCTGTGTGTCCAGTTCCTGCAGCCGTCATTTCGGACCGGGCTGAGCTTAGTAGGTCGAGGCTTCAGTTCAACGGTGGGCTTTCCGGTGGCTTGGGGTTCAAGGTTCAAGACGCGTCGCTTTGAAGGAGTCTGTGCCCAGTATTTCTGCATCCGCGGCTTTTGCAAGGCAACACCAAAGAGCACCTAAATAGAGACGTCAAAACCCTCTAATACTCTTGTTAAGATCCCAAACCCTAATCGGGAATCCCTAAACCCCTAAGCCTAAACCCTAATTATCCGAAACCCTACATACCATGTTGAATATCCTGCTAAACCCTCTTGTGCCACATTCGTGCACTCCTGCATCCCTAAACCCTAAACCCTAAACCGGATGCTCCAAGGATCCTTGGAAAGCTCGGCTTCTGGAAGAAAAGCTCGGCCACGACGGCCCGGGCCCTGGCAAGGAAGCAGCCCAAATAAGTGTGACCAGTATAATGTTAGAGTCTACCCCAGACTCCATTCTAATTTTGAAGAACCCTATGTTGATAGGATCCTTCAAAGAGGCTTTTTGCGGCTGTGTTTGGGAATTCGTATGAATTAATTAGAGTTTGTTGAACAACATTTCAGGGTGAACAGCTTTGTTTTCAGAGTGGTTTTACGGCCCTGGAGGTTGTGGAAGAATGGCTCAATGTTGGAGGGATGATGTGCTTCTTGGGCTTTCTGGAAGAGGGTTGGTTTTCAGGATTCGCGATTGCGGTGCGGGATTTAGTGCTAAGTTTTTAGGGAAAGAATTGTTTTCTTAGGCGGTCAGGGTCGTGGCGAGCTACAAGTTACGTAGTAAGGTGGCTAAGGCTTGCATGTTTCCGTGTCACGCTGATCACTCGTGGCATTCCGGGAATGCAAGCTGTTGCCTGCGAAGTAGGCTGCTGCTCAACTATAGTAGATTAGGTGACCTTTGTCTGTGTTTACCGTATGTCATTTTCGGCAGTGGCTTCATGTCTCCACAAGCAATAGTATTTCTGTAGTAGTGAGCCCCTCCTCAAAGTGATGTCTCTGTTGATGCATCCCCTGTCGCAGGGCTAATCCAGATGTCCTTCTAATTGTGGGTTGGCCCACTCCAGCTTGTCTCTTTGCTCGGAATGGGGCAAAAGCCCTGAAATGATTCTGCCCCATACTGATTCCTTGTTTGGGGTTCGGGTTTTGGGATTTAGGCTTTGGCCCTAAACCCCGAGCCCGGCCCGAGCCCTCGTTTCAGGGTTCAAGATCTCTTGTGGTGTCAGGTCACCGCCGTCCAGCCCTTCAAGTCGCCAGAGGCCACACATTTTAGGGTTTAGGGTTTAGGGTTAGGGGGTACCTTATTTGGGGTCCTTATAATTGGGATCCTACTATTTGGGGTACTATATTAGGGTCCCCTATTTTTGGGAACCCCCACATGCATGCAAACAACATTGTGGGGATTGGGGTTTGGGGTTTAGAGCAGTAGAGTCGGGGCTACAGCCATCTCAGCTGTACCGAGTGTTCTGGTCGGTTGGGACACGGTTCTGCTAGACGTATCAAATTGTCGTGATAGTTTTCGGATGTTAGAGGAATCTGAGTAGGGATCCTTAATCTACGGCCGTAAAAGAAAGGAGGTTTATAAATCAGGGTTTGTTAGCAGGGAAGGCAGGGTTCAGGCTGCGGATCCGGGTGGGAACTTGATCTAGCTGCCACGGTCGGTTCAATGTTTGGAAAGAAGAACGTCTGCTGAAGCCTCGAAAGTCAGCCAGTCCGGCGCTGTTTACCTATGGGCATTCCTGCTCTAGGGGTCCTTTTAAAAGGGATTCTGCAACTTAAGGGGTCTATGTATGGGCCCTTTGTTTTTTGAAACTCCCTCGTGCGGGAGTCTGAGGAACTGGTGCCCGGAAGCCCAAGCCTCCTGCCGTGTATGTGTAGATCCACAAACCAGTACCCGAGAGCCTGACATCAGTATGAGAACTGCACCCCTAGCGACCCTCGACCATGTAAGTCCCAAGCCGTAACTCTCTAGGACTTCTCTCTGAGTGCACCCCAACAGGATCCTACCTGGTGGCATCTCCCTGCCGAAAAGACCCCATGAAGATGTAGGTTCTAACACGGAGTCCAAGCCCAACAACTAAGCCAACCCTGAACCCAAAACCCTGCAGCTCCCACGCTGAACCCGAATGCAAAACACCCTCAACCCCACAAAACCCTCAACCCTTCCTCTGATAAGCAGAAGAAAACTATTGCTATCACTTCTGCTACTGCTACTGTTATTAGGTAGTACTGCTACCACTACTTCAAGCTACTACTACTACTACTACTACTACTACTACTACTACTTGTTTCCAGGCCGCCGAGATTCGAGTTGCCAGTTGGGGGCCCTGACCTGCATCGAAGCGTCACGAGATGTTGGCTGCGGGAATTCAGATTTCGCACTTGGCATTTAAGGTTCTGGGGCCTCGGGGTTTCAGGGTTTTTTGGGAGCCCATGGTCTTATAACCACTCTGAGCCCAAGCCTTGTGCTCTCTACACGCAAAGACTTGACCGTGTTGATGTATGTCGGAGTTCGAGGAAGGTCTCCGATTGCGGTGATGCCTCCTCCTGCTATAGCTCTGTACGGGAGCCAGGACCCACTAAACTCTCCTATTAGCTATTATGGGGCGATTAATGAACTTGGGTCCTTTCAGGATCCGAGGGGCTCCAAGCCGAGATGTAGCGCAGGGTATTGGGCTTGGGGTTTAGCCTTGTGGCCCGGTCAATGAATCAGAACACCTTGGCATGATTTATCTAGTTTATCTGTCCGAATGTTAGCGACAGTTCGGAGATTCAACCTGTGTAGTTGCAAAGGATCATGCATAGACCCGACGAGCGGAGCGCGAGCCCTGAGTATCGGATTGGGGTTAAATTTAGTGTTCATAAACTTGTCTGGCAGCTACGCCCTTTTGCTCCAGCACACTGAGTTGTTTTTCAGGACTAACGGTTTGGGCTTTCAAGATTGAGGCCAAGCTGCAGCCATTGAAGAGCTCGAGGACGTCCAGGCACAGAAGAAGAGCCTACTGCATTGTACATCACAGTCGCAAGTATGGTCATCCTACCATCATCGTCTGCGTCGTCGTCGTCGTCATCATCATCATCATCATCATCATCATCATCATTGTCATCATCATCGTCATCATCATCTGCGTCATCATCAACATCATCATCATCATCATCATCATCATCATCATCTGCATCATCATCATCATCATCATCACTATCATCACTATCATCACTATCATCATCATCATCATCATCATCATCATCTGCGTCGTCGTCGTCGTCATCATCATCATCATTATCATCACCGCCACCGACACCATCATCAAATGAACCGTGATCATCGTGTAATCAGTACCATCGTCATTTTCATCAAGATTATTATCATCATCACCGCCACCGCCACCATCATCAAATGAACCGTGGTCATCGTGTAATCAGTACCATCGTCAGTTTCATCATCATCATCATCACCGCCACCGCCACCATCATCAAATGAACCGTGTAATCAGTACCATCGTCAGTTTTTATCATCATCATCATCATCATCATCAGCAGCAGCAGCAGCAGCAGCATCACCATCACCATCGTCACCACCACCAGCATCACCATCCTCATCGCAAGAGGTGCACTACAGTAACTCGGATTCTGCATTACATGAAATTGGCTTCTAATTTGGTTTGCAAGCTGCGAAAACGAAGCCGGCAAGCCCCACTCAGGCGCCGAGTCCAATCCAGCTTAAGGAGTGAGATTTTGCGGCAAGTTCAGTCTCGAAATCCCGAAAGCATGACACCATCGCAATCCTGAGCCCGCGCCACGAAGCACCGCGATTTGCGACAAGCCCCTTTTCGGCAATCCCCATGCCTTTGATAGAGCCCTTTCAAGGGAGCCCCCTCTCCTACTCAGCAGGGCCTTGAGACTAAGCACCGGCCCCCCGGTCGTCGAGGCGCCGAAGCCTGAGCCGGAGGAGCCCTCGCTGCCGCCTTCGAAAGGCGAGTTAGCTCTTTTGGAGCCTTGAAGGCTTTGGGAGTGGTTTTTGAGTTTGGGTACTTGGAGGGAGCTTAAGGGTTTGGAGTCCTAGGATTTTGGGCGGTTTTTGGGGGGTTTGAGGGCTTAGGGCTTTGGACTTCCAGGTTTTCGGGAGACATTACGGCTTTAGGCTTTCGGCGGAAGACGGGAGAACAGGCAGTGCTTGCCCCGTTGTCCAATCCGTAGTAGTAGCACGAGCAGTGGTGGGACGACAAGGAGGGGAAGGGCCGCAGCAGTGGGAGCCTGTGCGATAAGTTCTGGGGAGACCAAAGGTGTGATGGGTACATGTCTAGAGCCAGCGATTTTGTGAACTGCCACGCTTGGCCCCTCGTGGTGAGTTTGGATCCATCTCGTCCTTTGCAGAGCCTTGAACGGCGAACCCGAAGCTTTGCTAGCTCCACTCCGCTTCCAAGTCGAAATCGCTCCAGTTGCAGGCCGAAAGCAGCCAGTCTTATCTTCATTTCTGAGATCGGGAATCAGCGACCCAGATAGGATGCAGTAGTAGTAGGTGATTCTGTATCGTGCATATTTACACCTTTTCGACCAAGCATTTCATAACTGCCTGAAGCTCTGAAGAGGCCTCTGCGCACCAAAGTGCTGGAGCTTGAAGCGACATGTCTCCACGTCACCGTCTGACAGTCTGAACCCCAAGCTGTTTACAGGATTCTGATTTAATGAACAGGCTTTTGCGCCCGAGAAAACAAGAACGGACCAGCACAAAGATTGCGATTGTTCCCCTTGCAGGCCCTGAGGAGACAGCGAAGCTCGTGGAAAGTTTGTGCCAGGGGCCATAGGTCCCAATCCTACCGAAGCCGACGCAGTCAACTCGACGATGCTGCAACACAACACCTTCAGCTGTATAAACATGTCGACTGTATTCTAGAGGCCTGAAAAGACAGAGCGTGGTACCCCTGCTCTTTGTGTTAATGGTGGGTGCATTCTGACTTCTTGGGCTGCTGACCAACTCGCTCAAAGAGGTAATCGGCTTTTAAGCCGACCAGAACCACGAAAGCCTTGAGCTCTGATCTTGGACCCAAAGCTCTACCCCTCTCTGGAGCACGACGGCCACTTAACCGCAAGCAGCCCTAAGAAGCCGACACCCCCCTCCCCCAAAAAAAAACAATGGGTTTAGCTGCCATGACGGTGCCGCAGGATTGCTGAGGCGCGCACCCGACTGGGGACGTGCACTTTTCAGTGAGCTCTCTTTAGATCTGGGATGTACCAATGTTCTGTTGCTGGCTCAGGGATGTTGCGGCGAGTGTTTGGCTTTAGGTCTAGGGTTCGACCCATGGAGGCGTTTGTCGCTTGCAGATTCAGGGTGTACCCGTCATCGCCTTCCAGGGGGAAGATATGACGAGTATTCTCTTCTGTCAGGCTCAGGATTATTGTGATGTTGAGGGCTTATATATAATTACATAGGGCTTAAGGCATGTAAGGTTTCTTGGACCCGGAGGCTCTCTCGCTAAGAGGACTTGTCGGACACATGCGGCCTCAGACACGTTAATATGTTCAAGGCTTTTGATATGTTCAAGGCTTTTGCGGCTGACTCCAACTGCATAGGGTCTGATTAACTTTGGTTCCTTCTCCCCGCATTCTGAATTCAAGTATACGTGAAAGAGCCGATATAAAGCGTTGGCTGCGTAGCTTCCCCACACCTCACGTGACGTGTGTGCGGGCGTCTATAACCCTGACTCAATCTGCAGGGAAGCCCTAAACCCTAAACCCTGAACCCTAAACCGGATCTCAGAGAAGCCTTAAACCCGAACTCCTGCACCTCCAGCTCGAAGCCTACTCCGCCCTAGCTCAAACCCCTAACCCTCACCCCCCAGGTACTATTTAGGGCCCTAGGGGCTCTAATACCCTATATAGTAGGTACCTGGGGGTTAGGGCCTATTCAAAGGATGAAAGGCCCTGATCTCCGTGTGCTTCAGCTTTGGCTCGAGGGGACTGGCTGGGAGCCGTATCCCAAAAGTGGGGGTCGACTCTGTCCCTAACTTGGGATTAGGGTTTAGGGTTTAGGGTTTAGGGTTTAGGGTTTAGGGTTTAGGGTTTAGGGTTTAGGGCTTGGGATGAAGGAAAACGATGCGCTTGATGCGTAAGTTGAGCTCGATCTATTTCGGAACCGCCGTCATTCCGCAGGTAGGTTCGCCGCAACATCGGCTGGGTGAGGGCAGCCGAAAAGATAGATCCAGGAACAGGCGCTTAGTGAGCAAACTCCTTCACACTTGCAACTGGATAGTCGAAAGTGCTGTCGCTACTGTAGCTAGGTATTCGTTCCTTGCGGGCTGAAAAGGCCTGCGAGGAAATCTGCAGTGACAGAACACATGGCCCGCTGTGTTGACTATGCTGTCAGAGCCTTACAAGGATTTCTCAACAGCTTTGGGTCCAAGGCTGTCGGATACAGGCTTCAGGTTCTATAGGGCTTGTTCGAAGCTTCGGGGCTTACGACGTTTGTAGGGCGTAGCTTCGGGTGGCTGCAGCAGTCCCCACCAGGCCAGTCGAAAACCGGCAAAACCCGAGCATCTAGGTGTGAGGCCTGTGTCTGAGTGTGGGACTCACAGAAGAACACGTTGAAGCATGGCATCCCGTTGCCGTGCTGGGTCTATAAATGCTATCCCTGGGCACCACTGCTCGACAGTTTCCCGCCTTCCGAAAGCTCCATGTTCGAAACCAACAGCTCCTGAGCTTGAACTTGGAAACCGAAACCCTGAGCCCCAAAATCCTCACCCCTGAAACTCTAAGCTCTGGGCCCGACACCTCTGAAAAGGCTTTAGAACTAGTGCATCAAGTTATCAGCGTTTAGGCGTTGAGGTTTTGGCGTGTCCGGGTTCTGGACTTAGGTCTAAGGATAAAGCTTAAACCCACAAACCTGTTCAATTTTGCTCCCTAAACCCTCAACTTCTAAATCCTGCATGTGTTAGCGCCGTGCCCTGAAAAGCGATGAACCCGTTTTCGAAAGGCCTGGAAGGAGCATGTGCGTCGACTCCAGAAGTCAGATATAGCCAGGCCGGCGATGCAGCTTTGGGCTCAGACTATCATCATGACTATTAAATTAGTACTATTATTGTTCTTCTTATTGATCTTATTGGTAGCATTTTTATTAGTATTAAGTATTGTTGTTATTAGTATGGTTTGGAGTGTCGGGCTTCATGGTGTGGTCTTGGGCGAGGTGTTTGTGGTTTGGGTGTTGGGGTTCAAGGTTTGGGCTTCAGCACTGAATGTAGGGGCCTTATAATTAGAATAGGGTTTTGGGGGTTCCTTATTATAGTTATAGGTATATTATAGTATACCCCAAACCCTATTCTAATTATTCAGGCCCGTATATTAGTTAGGGTCCGGCATTTCTGTTTTTGGGATTCTGGTTCGCTCCCTGCAGGGCTTAGGGTGGCTTCTGTTTGTCAAAGTCTGGGCAGGCATAGTTCATCGTGGTTTATTAAGTTGAAGGCATTCCGGGGTGCAGTTGTTAGAAGGACTCGGATGTACAGCAAGCTTTGCATTTCAGCTTGATGCATTAATAAAGTTTGGGTGGCGGGGTGTTCTCTTATGGAGGGCCGTGGGACCGTAGAAATTTGAGAAGGCTATTTAATAAGTAGGTTGGGTGGATTTGGATCTGCACGGCGAAATTCGCGTCGCAGGACCAACGACCTCGAAGTCATCATCGAGAAGGACCGCAGCTGTCAACACAGCAACGAGCTGTCGAACTTGTGCCACTGCTACGACCATTCTCGCCATTGCTGCTGCTGCTGCTGCTGCTGCTGCTGATGCCGTACCTGCGAACATTGCCAAAGATTGGGAATCGCAATGTTCTCTGTTGTCATTGCCACAAAGAGTAGTGGCATGATTGCTGGTCGCACAAAGTGTTGCTAGTACCATGAAGTAGTGGTTCAACTGTTGCAGCTATCGGCATCATAACCGTAGTTGTCAGTGCACTTGCTGCGTCCTGTACACCCAAACGCATTATCATCTCAGTGAACCGGACATGCATCAAGCGCCAGAAACTCTCATGCTATCTTCCGTGTGTATGCTGCGGGTTCCCTGCTTGCAGACAGGTTAGTTGGTGAATCATAGTCATGGTCAAGCAGGCTTCTAGAACCACGGCTTGAGGAGGGTATAGTCATTGAACCAAAGGTTGCTACCTCAGCCATCCTGAGAGTCTGCAGGATGCTGAGGTTGTGAGAGCTGATGTTTTGCGCGAAGTCAGAATGCCAGTATGTCGTGATCTATGGGCCCGTTCCATTCTGTCTTGGAGGACAACCCTTATGCCTCGGGGCCAATGCCCTACTTTGCGCGAGGCCTCCCTAGCAGTGGCCTAGCTGAAGAGGCGTGGGTTTTGTCGATGTGCATGCATGACGTACACAGCTGACTAGGTCGGACTTGCACACATACATACATATACATTTTGCATATGTATTAAGGTATAGATACACACATACATACACACATAGTGTGTGTATATGTATATACACGTACATATATATATATATATATGCATGTATGTATGTATGTATGTATATATATATATACATATACGCCTAGACAGTTACATCTATAGACGGATACATAGCTAGATATCTAGACAGATAGACAGATAGACATGTGTGTGTATATACAGTTGTAAATATATGTCTATCAAGCCCATGTCATTGCAATAACTAAAAATGAATAATGCATGTGTGTTCGTGTATAGGTGTGCATGTACATAAACACACACACACACACACATGCATGCATGCATACATGCATACATACGTACATGTAACTTAATCCTGTATTTTCCGTATCGCTGGATCGATAGGGAGGGAGAGAGTGAGACCAATGCTAGGTCCTCTGTGCAGCATAGTTTTGTGGAGGTGTACATTGTACATCGGCAAGGCAACTTCATGGGGAGTCTTGGGTGGTTCCAAGCATGTCACGTTTCCAGGCTGGGCATCTACTATACTTTGTCCTCCAGCGGATCTGCGACACTTTCCGTTGTTACAGTTGCAACGTGTTCTGTTCTTACCCTTTCAGCTCAACATACTGCGTGTTTCCCCAAGTGCTGATATGCGTGTCCATCCTACTCGTTTCCCAAGCTTCCGTCTGCATCGGCGGATGCACGAAACATAGCATTCAATCAAATCCCTGTACCCTAGGGCCCTAGGTCCGAATTCAACAAATGGCCATATCAAAGCAATGCTTCCACAAGATGCGATGCTATAGCTGACGACTAAATACCCAGAAAACACTGCTTGTTGGATGGATCACTCGGGGGCTTTGGCTTCATGTATCATTTCACAAGCGTGGTGCGGAGGTTTTGAGTTCGAGATTTTGGGCAGAGCGTCTCTCAGCCGAGGCTTTCTCAACGACTCGTCGAAGGCTTTCTTGCAGACGGCCTTTTTAGCTCTTGGGAGTGTTGAAACTTTGGAAAAACGGTGGTGCTGAATGGTGGAAGCCCCACTCTACTGACAGGACCTAACTTAGCTGTTTCTCTCGGTAGTGCTGGAAATAGAGAGGCAGTCGTAAGCCACCCCTTGAGGCCTTTCCAGGACCTCAAGCTTTTGCTTTACAGTTCAGGGCTTCCGCCACAGGCTCTTGTGTACTTCCTCTCTGGCTTGTATCCCCCTAAACCTTAGCTGAAGACCCGAAAGATTGAACCCAAGACCCTAACCCTGAATAATTACGAATACCATTCCTTTGGGATGCTGTTCCAAAAATAGTAAAGTATAAGCCCACAGCCCTATTCTGATGATGAAGAACCCTATGCGAATGTGGCCAATGGGCTTCGGAATAATACCGAATGATATTCACATATAGT